TGTATGAGAAAGGGAGGGGTTCTCTGTTTTGCCCTGGCTGTCCTGGAACTCGCTCTGAAGACCAAGCTGGCCTCAAAGTCACAGTGGTCTGCCTCCACCACCATCAGGCTCAGGTTATTTTCTTATAACATAGCCAAGGGGCAATGGTCTGCTTTAACAAACGTGATATTAGTAAATGGGCTGTATGCATTCACCTGTCAGTGAGGGAAAAGGTGGATTTGATTTGCTGCAGCTGTTGAAGATGATCTTGAGATCAGTGTACACTGTATTAGTGATTCAAGGTAGATCTAATTTGAACCGAGTCCTTCTAAGCCCCATGTCTTCTCTGTAGCAGGATGTTTTCTGTGACCAATTACACAGTATCATAGAATAAGGAAGTTGTAAAGAGCAGTGCTTATTTTATTTCATGTATAAAGAAAACATTTTAGAACATCATGGCAAGAGACAAAAAGTAGTTGTATTGTCTGTCACTCTTCAGATCTGTTTCCATCTCCTTTGGAAGCCACCTGGATTCAATTGTGCAAGCTCTATCCTAATGACGTTATCTAATTCTAATCACTTCTCAATGACCCCACCTCTGAACACCATAGTAAATGTTTCTGCCCTTTTAAATAACCAAAATGGCGATTAATTTCATATATGAAACTCTAGGAGGCACAAACTATATTTAAACCACACCACCGTCCTTCCAGCACTGTTCAGTTCACTGTCACTACGTTAAGGAACTATTCTAATTCACTGTATATAATCTTCTTGTGCCTGACTCATCAGATCCTCCTCGAGGATCCTCATTTTCAAAACAGAATTCATTTGCCTTTTGATTTCTATACCATAATCCCATGTAATTTTCTTAGTACCTTACTGTTAAATTGAACAAATGGCTATCTTAGTGGGGAAAAAATGTGCAATTAATGTATTTGAGGGCATGTCATAATTATCTATAAGAATCATAAAAGTAGATGACAGGGAAAGTAGGATGCTAGAGCAATATTCATGTGACTCTGCAAAATAAATTTTTCATTGAATGAGTATTTTGCTGACTTCACGTTTGTGTAGGTTATATATACTTATATAAGCATGTGTGTACATGTGCATACCTGTGTGTTAGGCACATGTGTCTGTGGAGGCCAAAGGTTAAAGTTGGTATCTTCTTCAGTTACTCTCCACCTTAATTTTTAGGTTCTCACTGAATCTGGATTTCATCCCTGGATGAGGCTGACTAGCCAAGGAGCCTCAGCATTCCGCTGTAGTATCATTGCACCCAGACTTTCTATGGGGGCCAGGGACCTACACTCAGGTCAGCATGGTTGTGTAGCAAAGAGTTTACCAACAGAGATGCCTTCTCAGCCCCTATTGATGACTTTGAAGCATTGTGAAAATATCAGACAGTCTTACCTGCCTATCACTGACTTCTTTCTTTCATCCAACTTTAGGGAAAATGTGTGTTTTGGAAAATCTGCAAATGTTTTGAGTAGCTCACATGGTAACATCCCCCAAAGAATAATTACAGTAATCCTTCAACCCATGATCTTTTTCAGAATTCTTTTCTAGATACCAGGCAATTTAATATGATTTAAAAGAATGATATATGTTCATGTAAAAGTCATGAGTGGCTCCATGACCTTTTGTTTCTTCTGAGCTTGAAATTACTTCTCTTCACTCCTAAATAATGATGTCAATGTGTTGACCCCCACTGCAGTGCCTAATTTGCTAAGAGCCCATCCTCAAGGTTCATTAGCTCAGTAAGAGTGGGAGGTAGCATTCTTATTCGTGGAACATCCTGCCCTTATATCTACAGTGATGATTTTGTACTGCCCACTTGGAGACAGAAGAGTTGATGTCTCATATGAGGAGAACAATTTAGAGAAAGTATTAAGAAAGGAATTTGAGGTATGTTTTTGTTTTTGAAAATTAAGGAAATGTAAAGGACAGAATGAACTAATTGGTAATTTCTTATAAATATTTCAAGGCAGCATGTTAACATATTCAGATGGATAAGTAAGGCTAAATGTCAACCTGAATTAAGCCATTTGGCTATAATTGAGAAGTGAACTGATTGAGCAGTTTTGAATACTTCTTATCTCGATACAGACAGAAAGAAAGAGGGAAGTACATTGATCACTTAGGGCCTGTGGTAAAGAAGAGGTCACTTCAAAGAACACGTAAAATTCAAATTGCAATCTGCTGTAGAACCTTAATAATCCTCATATTTAAAATACATCTCCAAGCTATCTAGCATTCCACAGTGATTTCCCACTGTGTAGACTGTCCATGTACTTACATCAAAATACGTAAATGACCAATGTATTCCTTCAAAATAGCTGTATCAATTTGTGTGATTAAAATGATCCTATGGAAAAAAGTTTAGGGCCATGCCTCACCTTAAATTTTAGTTCAAATGTAGCTCTCTCACTTGACCTATGACTTGATGTTTACACTCAGATCTGCCAAAATAGCATGACTTACACAGAATTCTTGGGTAAAACTGGGGGATGGAGGTTGCTTCTGCTCTTCCTCAGAATGCATGACTGGTTATGATGATGAATAATAAATTCAAGCATAATTATAAGTCTGTGACCACAGTTGTCTTGGTATGTGGTCATACCTCTAAGGGCCCCCAATCAGAAGAAAAATTGCACAGTCTGTTCTTCCATGCACATTGTAAACAAAGGTCCCTCTTCTCTACAAAATAACAATGAGGTATCGATAATGGAAAGGCACAATTAAAGAATTTCAGTGTGTTTTCATGTTGCTGCTGAAGTATCAACCAACAATACCATACATTGCCAAACACATACTGGACTCAAATGTTAGTCACACCTCTAAGTAAAACAAACTCATTGCCAGGCATATCCTGAGTTGGTATACATAGTGTTGCTTTCCTACCACCTTTATAAAGAACTGATTTAAGTAAATATGGCCCTGCACAGCCTATGAAAAATGATTTTGACCCATTAATATACTGGGCTCTTTGTTCTATAGACTTGCCTTCTTTGGGTAAATGATTTATATTTTATGGTCCATTGTCATAGCCTTGGCCCTGGTTCAATTCCAATTTAAGAAAATGCTTGAAGTGCTGTCTTCTAGTATCATGCAAACACTCCAGGAATTTGATGCCTTCCAGAATAATCTACGCTTGTTATGCAAGTGCAGTGAAAGACACTTTTTTTTTTTTTTCAGAACCGAACAAAAGAGATTGGATTCTCTGTAGCTTAAATTGCTTCAAGAGTTCTCAGTGGTGGAATTGTTAAGGGCTTTTGTGCAAACAAGGGAGACTGAATCATGCATTTTTATTAGTCACCCAAGAAGCCTTCCAATTTCAGGTGGTTCATAAACATGCAAACACCAAGGCTAGTCTTTAAGAACCTCAAAACTATCTTGTCTGATTAGGAAGTTAGTCATTTGATGTTTTGACAACTAAAACAATATAATGTTTAAAAAAACTAACAAATTACCCTTAGAAGTAACAGGATACATCACTTTAAAAAAAGAGCAGTCCAAGGGTTTGTGGCGCCTTCCTTTGTTCTACTTAATCCTCCTTTGCTGTCTGAGAGTCCAATGTTTTGCAAATATCTACATTGAATTCTAATAATACGTATTAGTGTTAATTCTCTATTCGGTGTAGAAACACTATTTCAGACATTAGCAGCTTTTGTGGTCTGAGAATCAGCCCGCCTTCCATAGTGGTCTCTTCATCAGTCAGTACCATTCTGGTGTGAAGAGGGCCTTCCTCATCCCCCTTTAAAACCTGAATCAGTCTTCAGCATAGTATGTTGCCTTGTTCCCAAAGGCACAGTGAGGTTGAATTTGGGAAATGCCCTTACAGTCCTCGTGTTCTGGAATTGTTTACCCCTTCTTGTTTTAGAAGTTGCCTCAGCCATGGTCACAGACCTCCCTTGAGACAACTTTTCCATTTACTTTGTCCATTTAAGGGGAACATATTGAGAGTTTTGCTACTGAGAGTTTAAAATAAATACATTGAGAGGAACATTCTCAAAGCTCCTGGATGGACCACTGCCTTCTCCCCTGGGCCCATTGGCATCCCTACCCTACAGGCAATAAGGCTGCCAAGTCCAGTGTTCAGAATATGTCATAGTGTAGAAACACAGTTAAAAACTGGCAGGAAAGTGCTTCTTTACTTGTATACAAGGAAAATATGATGAAATGACTTTTTAAAAGTACATTGCCTATGAAAATTGATCCACATGCATAAGGTAAAGATTTCAAGATACCACCGTATGTTTTTTGAAATTCTGGAAAAAATGATACTTAACACTTAATTCTTTGTAATGTTAAAGAAAAATTAGTCACATGTATATTTGTTTAAAAAAAAAACAACTTCCTTTGTATAGCGAGTTTGGATCATGAGGTCTCACTTGTTAGGCATAGAAATTAAATATCTTAAAATGAAATTTTAGGCTGTATGTATAAGTCACTGTGTAGAACACATGCTTGGTTTGCATAAAGAATGGGTTTAGCCTACAGCAAAGAAAGAAACAAAGCCAGACAGAAAGGAAGCAAGCCTAGGTCTCCATTTTCAACCATTAGTGATCACCACTAAATGAAAACAAAACTTTATAAGACAAAATGATTGAACCATAAGATAAATGAAATTATAAATTCTGCCCTTCTTATTAAACTTTGGCTTAAGCAAGATTAATGATAATGCAATGTTAACTTATAAGTCAGTGGTTCTCAACCTGTGGGTCACAGCCCCTTTAGGGACTAAATAGCCCTTTGAAAACAGGGGTCACCTAAGACCACAGAAAACAGGTAAGACGTTACAATTCGTAGTGGTGGCAAAATTACTTATGAATTCAAAATGGAAATAATTTTATGGTTGGGGGTCACAAGATGAAGAATTGTATCAAAGGGTCACAGCATTAGGAAGGTTGAGAACCTCTGTCTTGGGTGCACCAAAACCCAAAAATCCTTCACAGCCTTTTGTTCCATGATTTATTATGCAAATTCTGCATCACCTCTTTTTTTCCCCCTTACAGGAAAACTGAAGACTTTAATAACAAACCCTTCAAGGTGAAGATGAATACAGGTATGCTTTTTCATTATTCATTCATTTAGTTATTTCTTAAGCTTTGCTCTTTAAGCCACCTTGGTCTTACATTAGCATAGCATTGTATTAATGGTAAATGTAACACTGCATTTCTGGGTATATGGAGAGTTACACTGCATTATCATCGTGTCCCAGTCTCATAGCCTAAAGTATAACTTTTTGTTATCTGCTGTAACTGATCTTTTATTATTTATTTTCTTCGTGTGTGTGTGTGTGTGTGTGTGTGTGTGTGTTCATTAGCAGGTACACATGTGTATGTGTGTGTAGACCAGAGGCTACCTGGTCTACACACCTTCAGTATTGTTCCTTATTTTTAAATTCACCTTGGTTTTGAGTCAGGGCCTCTCATTTGATCTGGAACTTTTTTATTAGTCTAGGGTAGCTGTCCTGTGAGTCCCAGGTATCCCCTGTCTCTGCATTCCAATACTTACTGGAATTAACACATGCATGCCACTGTGCCCAGATTTTTAAATGTAAGTCCCAAGAATCAAACTGAAACTTTCATGTTTATGTGGCAAGAATTTTACCAACTGAGCCATTACCTCAGTCCTTTCTGATTTTTGGATTTTTGTTTCAATTAACTCTTAAAGCTTGAAATTGTATTTATACATTTGAAATCTCTTACTTAAAATATGTTAGGCTCAAAGGCAAGATGCTCTGTTGGACAATATTTAAACTTTTCCATTTTATAAATTGTTTATGTTGACAAAGTCAGCAGAGTTCTAAAGTTCAGACAAAATGAATTCAATTAACTCTTATCACAATACACATTTAACCATAGCATGTTACTTTTAGACTTGCACACAGTATCCTTAAATATTTTAACATAAATACCTTAGGGCCATGTGTTGTATACATTTTAAGTGGAGAATAGTTTATAAATGCCTGGTAAATATATAAATGTCATTTTGGTCCCACGGTAGATCTATTTGGCTTGTTATTTCACCTTTACCCTCATTGTCAACAGTCTCAGACACAGCATACTGGCATGCAGTAATTAAAGAAAACAACTTTCTCACTGAAATCCTGTGACTATGTCATAGCTCATGGCTGAGTTGTTCTAGCTAGCCGCCCCATAGCAGAGCAAAAAGAAAGCCCAGGCCATTCTTCTTCGTCAGGCTCCTTGTATCAAAGTGTCTAGAAGAAGGATTAACAACTGGCTAGTAAGAGCCAGTATTTAATCCCTAGATCAAGTGTGGAGACAAGTGCCAGGTCCACCTCCCTGTGGCATCCTCTTATCTGAAACCTGCTCAAACTGACCTCAGAGAACACTGTCAGCCAGCTCCTGAGGACAGAGACCACATGCAGATAAACCTGCATGTAGAACAGCATTTAGAACAGCAAACAAGACAAGAGTGTTGGAGAAAGAACTAATGATCTTCTCAGAGAGCCAAGTAGAAGCATTTTTACAAGTGGGAATGGGTTCTCCTTCTTCAGTCTCCTCTGCCTAATAATAGCTACCATTTTGTACACATACGTGCAAAATGGACTGTGACAAACCATACTTAATGACCACAGAGTCACTCTAGCAGACCATTCACGTGAAGAGGCGATGTTTTCTCACTGTTTCAGATATATCAGCTCTGAAGATTTAAGTTCCACATGGCTTCCCAAAATAGTTTTCCTATTATGAGAGATAGGTATATATAATTATACTAAAAATGCTGCACTTATGTCCAATATATTCAAAAGTTGGTCTTCCCATTCATAGAATTGCAGCCTAATAACAAAGTAGGCACAGAGAAATTGGAAGACTGTTTAACTCTTTTGTGAACCATGTTACTGCTAAGCAGCATAAATAGAAACTTGAATAACAACCTTTCACTTATAAGGAGTGATCGGGACTCTAGATGGGCACAAATGTGCATAAAATCAGGTTGCCTGTGTAGATAGATTTACCTATGGAAACAAACATGTTTAGATGTAAGTTGAAACCCTTTGCTTAAGATTACAGAGTAATGTTATGATGTTGCAATAAAAACACACTACTTTAAAAATACAGGTGACCAATATTTAGGTAGAAAATAGATAGGTGCATAATGCTTTCAGAAATATTTTGTCAATGTATTTACAAAATAAAGAAATAATTGATTCCAGAGTAACTGAAATTGGCTCACCTTACCTATCGATTATTGATGTTATGTAATACTGCTTAAAACTCTATATACCAGGTTTGAGGCAGAGGCTCAGTTGGGCAAAGTGCTTGCTGCTCAGTCATATCCCACGCACCAAGGTAAAAAGTTGTGCATGGAACAAGCACTGGCAACATTGGTACTAGAAGTCACATAGAAGAAGATCCCAGGGTTCCCAGGGCAGGCTAGCCAATCCTCCTCAGTGGGCTCCACTCTCCATGAAAGACCCTGTCTTTAAGACAGAGAGAGAAATAAGGATTCTCTTAACTTTGACCTCTGGCCTCCAGAAGCACCCACACAGACAGCTCACACATACATGCAAAAAAAGAAAGAAAGAAAAAATCCTTGCCAGTCACTAAGATCTAAAAATGCTTTGATATCTAGTCTTTACTTTGAGTCAGATACATAACAAACTATCCAAGGAGAATGAGTTTCATGTTTTCATTTTAGAATGTCTAAACTATGACCTATTTCAATTCATAGCAATTGTGACCTATTACCTTCTAAAGCATGAGAATTCACCATCATTAAAAGGGGGAAAGATGATTCATAGACTATGGTTTACCCATCTAATTGTTTTCCAGAAGTAGAAACAGCATTTGGATATCTTAAAGCTCAGTGGAAGGGTAACCAACCAGGCTGGGGGGTTCATGGACAAACTCTGAGACCAGCACTTTAGGATGTGCTATGTGTCAGAGACAGCATCCTCATATCAAGTCCTTAAAAATGTCTTCAAAACCAGCATACAAGTAGAAACAAAATATTAATTTCTAGTGGTTTGTCTGTTCTACCAATTTCACCACCTCAACTTTTAAAAATAAGCCCTTTAATAAGTGTTAGCAAAGAGTATCCATTTACTTAGCCTAAAGTTTCCCACATATTTTTTTTGTCTCACGGTGATAATGTCTGGGTATTTTTTTTCATATTGCTTCTAAGCATAAATGAAATATCTAATGATTCTATTTATTAAAAATTTTGGTGCAAACAATATAATAAGCATTTATGTTCTAACAATTTAAAAGTCATTTGATAAAATACATGTGGGTTGAAAGAAAAATAGTAATTTACTTTTAGTGTAACTGCAATTCCTTAATAGTAGTATTTGTGTGCCTGTCACACACCAAGACTTCAGACCAGGAAATTAAATTGTACATAACTACTCTTGTTCACTGATCCAAAATGACTTTCATACAGCACTTGCTTTTTAACATAGCAATCCTCCCTAAGCTAGCTCTTAGAAATACATTGTGATCAAAATATAATATAACCTGTAGTATTGAAACTCTGAACTACTTCAATCTAATATTTCCTAAAGTGTCCCAATGCTTACTTAAACTTTTTCACTATTCTGTGACAGCTTTGTGGATTCATGGAAATGGCACAGAGCATCTCAGCACACAGTTTGAAAATCCTGTGCTTAATCCATGTCTCTCCCTCTTCTCATTCTGAGATGTTATCTTCTAGTGTCTAAAAATGAGCAGAGATGAAAAGTTAAAAGAACCAGGAAAATAAAATCCTTCTAAAAGTGATGTCATTTTTCATTTTCAACACCCTTGACTACCCAGCCCTTTCAGACCAGCCAGTAGTGACAAGATCCTAAGTTCTACAAGATATCCAATGGCTTTAGGTACATTTTTCCCAGATACATTGTCTCTCATAAGATTTTAGCAAATTGAAAATAGCTATTGGTGTTCTGTTGAAGGTATCTTCTTCAGCTGTAATTTTGTGCCATTTGTGTCTTTTTTCCTTGGTTCCCAGCTATAGTTTTTTTTTTTTAATTATTCTTTTCACTTATTTGCATTTTGTGTTTCAACTCGGGTTTCCTGTTTAAAAAATCATAAATTTAAGTCAGATTTTATATTAGAAAAGTTACACCAATTTTGTGGTTTAATGACCTCACTCTTTGATGATTTTTACCAGTAATTAACACATAATTCTAAATCTCTATTCTCTCATGTTTAATTGATAGGCTGGGTATTTTCCCTATGCAGTAAAGAACTAAAAAAGCATGTGACAAGATACAACAATTATACTTTCACAATAATATTCTCACGTTGTTGGTTATCGGATTTGTTTTGTTTATGTTCACCTTCAAGAAGAGAACTGAGGTTGCTTTGATGAGCAGGGAAAGATGGAAAACTATTTATTGCACATGCTATATTACCAAGGAATGTGGGCGCAGTCAGAGTTCTACTCAGAAATAGAACTCTAACCTTTCAATCTTGGAGACTGGTCTTCCAAATTTAGAAGTCTGCACTTCTCAAAGCATGGAAAATGGCTGATGCATTTGCACATATCTCACTTCACAACTTGATTTTCATAGCATAGGTATAGATTATACCATAGCTATTACTCAAAAGTATAAGAGGATTCTCTTTGTTTAAAAATAAGCTCATTTCAATTAAAGTAACTATTTCAGAACTGTGGGAAGACATGAAATTGCATAATGCCGTGTGTCTACTTATGACTTGCGTATATGAAGTAACTCATCCCTGATTATGTTTAGAGTTAATCTATTCTGCTTATGATTACTAATTATTTACATAGATATATATATAACATGGCACTTTAGGCTGAAATACAGATAACCCATAACTACAAAAGCTAGCTGTGCTGTTTCTAGACTTAGTGTGCATTAAATACTAATGGTGTAAACAAAACGAAGCTCTGTATCTAGGATATCATTAAGTAACAATGTTGAACATTAAATATAAAACCTTTTATTTCCTTTTAAAGCATTGCTGTCTGTTTCTGAGCAGACCCCTGGTTTTTCACATTTGTTTTACTTTGTCTCTTTTAGTTTGGGAGTGAAATCTGCAGGTCTGATCCATGATTACTAATGCTCCACTGTTCATCTTTCTCATGACCGTCTGACACGTCTCACTTAGAACGCATGACATTGCATGTGCTCTCTCTGTTGCCTTGGCCTCTGCTATATCATTTTTTTTGCTTCCAGATAGCGGTGGGTGTACTCGCAAACGTGCTGCCATGTCTGTTACGTTAGCATCTGTGAAGAGAGTTCAGAGTTCTCCAAATCTATTGGCTGCAGGTATAACATCACTAACTCACAGTGTCATACTTGAGCGGCTTCCCCTCACCTCTCTCTTTCCAAAAACATCTTGTTAGGAAAGGTACAGAGAGTTTAAATGCCTTTCAGATACCCCACTCAATCTTATTTTTTTTCTAACCCCAAGAATAGCTTCTATCCTTTCTGGTTTTGTTCTAAAAATAAAAAGCCAAAGGAACCTGATACCTTGTTAAAAACAAACATTTAAAAATACAATTAAGAGCATCAGTATCTTGCCAAAAATATGTAAACTGCAAGTACTAATAACTACTTATATTTTTTGTTATCTCATGAACTAAAGTAACTGAGAATTCAGGGTTAGGAAAAAAGACTTGATCAACATAGATCTTTATTAAAATGGTTCTTCCCAAAGATTACAAACAGAAAACAGACCTTCTTACATCTCTCTATATATACTTTGATCAATTTAGATTAATATGAACCCACAGATAAAAAAATACTCCAGAAAGCAATTGAGGATGTGGAATCCACTGAAGTAGCTCTCTTTTCACTAAATGTCTGTAATGACTTACCTACACCTGTGACACAGACTTCATCAGCTGTGGAAAAATCAACTGGCATTCAGCCTGTCCCTAGACCTTTAAGGGAGTAGCACAAACCTCCTAGTAACTGGTTAGTTAACTGGTTGAGATTGTTGCAGTCTAGGGTGTCCTTGGGTTTCTTTATAAGATTAATTAGTGACACAGCAAGAGAAGAAAAGTGATAGCATTGCTAAATAATTTTAAATCTCATACCGTGTTTTAGTCTGCTGTAAACAGGGTCAGGGGTTAATTGGTATTGAAGATGTCCTACCCAATTTTATTAAATAAAAACAAAGTTTTGAAGGTGACTTTCACTTTCTTCCCCAGCTCACAAATGGATTTTGAGGTCCAAATTTAAATGTCAAGTCAGGAGTCTCATATTATCTTTCTTTCTATAAAACCATCGTAATATATATCATCTGGTCTGATTTGGGTTTAAAAGCCACTCTGAATATTTATATGTTTCTCCATGCATGTATGAATATGAAAAGATATTATAAAAGCTATAGATGTATTTATATTACATGCATGAGACATGAAAATGATGAAAAGTAAAATAAATAAAAGGCAGGCACATTGTATTATTGGAATGCCTGAACCATGGATTTCATTGGCATTTCAACCAAGTAAAATATCAGATATGACCACTGATGCACATACTAGAAAATGACTCACCATGTTAACAATATGTTAAAATAACATATCTGTTATTACTTATAAAAAATAACCTGCAAAGGGATAGCATTGGATTGAACTAGAGAATGCATCTGAAAGAGTCAAAACTGTACTAAAAACAATTTCATACCACTCAGGTTGTTGGGAAAAGACTAAATGTTTCACAGTCAAAATAGAAAAATAAGCTGAGCCAGCCCTGATGCCACCAACCTATGACTCCATCTACTTAGAGTTTAAGGCTGCGTGAGTTACCCAGTGAGTTTAAGATACCTCTGAGCACACTGTTTCAAAATTTAAGATAATTATAATGAGAGTGAGGGATGGGTATAGCTCAGTGTTTACCTAGCATGCACCAGCCCTTTGGTTCAATTCCTTGCACCCAAGGGCAAGAGAAAGGAAGGTTGGCTCGTTTATTAAATAATGACCAATTAGTAGCTCTTGCCTATTTTATGTCACTAGAAATAAGAATTTTTAGCAGTCCCTTGAACTTTTCAAAGAACTTTTTGCATATATTGGTGCAAACTCTTGAAAGATATTTAATGACATTTTAAAAAAAAAATCAGGATCCTGCATGACCAAGCTCATTGTGTAGCAGCCTTCACATGAACTTATATGGAAAAAATAATGAATGTTTCAACATCACTAGAGAGTTAATCATTCATTGAGATATATGCTAAAATCATCAACTCAAGCTTTATTAAAACATGGCCTCATCTTGATGTTTCATCCATGGGCCTGTCAGTAGAGTTTGCCATTGTCAACATCCTGTGGGTAAATCAGGATGAACTGTCCTCTGTTTCTCCCACTTGATGTCTTAGGGTTTTATAACCCCACAATGTGGTCACTGTTTTGAGGAAACAGAACTGGCCATCTAGAAACTGTCAACCAGAGGACTTGAATTCCAAGTGTCCTTCAAAGTAGCTCACTACACTCTTTCTCCCCGCCTCAACTACATCCCTGGCACTTCCACAAACATGGCTGCTCTTGCTTCACCACCACAACCCTCCTCAGAACATATTTCATGTCTTTTTTCCAGCTTAGTCTTATCAAACCAAGAGTAAAATAAACCTCCTATTGTCAAGCAAACCATTAACACTACACATATGTATTACTGACGCTGCCTCCCTATCCATTTCCCTTTCTCAAGTGCCTAAATTTGTTCTGTATCCACAGTGTTTAGAACTGCACTGGTCAGTAAATCTCTTTCCTGAGTTCTAAAGGTAGCTGTCTATTATTAAGCTACATTAGTTTTCTCTCTAGAGGTGTCGTTGTCCTTTAACTAAATGAAATGGTGAAGTCCGGGCTCCATTAAAGACTGGGTGTGGAATCTAGAAAAACATGTCATGAGTAATTCTACAAACTCATTTTTACTAGATTACACTCATTTTTATTCTAATGTATGATCAGATATAATGAATGAGAATATGTTCCTCTTCTATGACTCACCTGTGCTAGAGTCAATCCAGGCAACTGAGCTGAATCACATTTATTTTTCTTCCTTTGATTTGGGGAAAAAAGAAATCCAACTTAAATATTTTATAAAAACAAACTTTGCATTGCTCAATCCACTAAGCATCATTCCAAATGTGTAAGTATAAATTTTAAATTGATATTCCTGAAGCATTTGAGAAGAAAACAGATTCATTGACTAATAACAACTTAATAATGGTCCCAGGGAACATATGAAAGGAAACCAGAGCTGGACAGCAGTCAAACTAAGGAACTCCTACAATCCTTTTCAAGATCAAGGCTTCATAGGTCCAATAGACCAAAATGGTGCTAATGGATTTCCCCAGATGGCCATATAGGAGGTTCTTGAATATATAGTTCTGAGACAATTGACCATCGGTAATGGTTAAACAAATCAATTACTATGATTTATTTTCCACAGCTTATGAGCTAAAAGACAATGAAATACACTGTAACAGCTTTCATGTTTGTACAAACAAAGGCTTTGAAAGGACAATAAGAAAATTTTAATTCTAGAGAACAATGGGAAAATATTACCTTGTACAGAAGATATATCTGCCTTTTGTAAAACTTGTAAAAAAAAAAGTTAGCTATTGAAATATTAGTCACTATCTAAAGTAGCAGTTAAACATAGTGAGTTAGTTACAGGTGACTTCCTTTAAAAGTCTAAAAAGCACTCATTGTTTGCAAACCAGGTTCTTTTCAATCCTTTAATTCTATGTTCAGGATTCATGTATCCACCTTGGGCCACAACCATCTTAAAATTACATGGTTGCAATATTATTAAGGGTGAGAAATCATGTTCGATTCATGTTCTAGTTATAGATTGTAGATATTTAACAAACGATAAGCCCGTTGAAATTAAAAATTGTTCACAAATGTCTCATTACTACATTTAATGTACCCTGTCTTAGGACTAAGATAGTGTCAGCAAAAACAATGCATGTGGTTATTTGCTGAGTATTTTTACTGGAAGGTTGGTTTTCACACTCACATTAATTCCAACAATGTTTTTCTTTCAGGGCGTGATTCTCAGTCTCCAGACTCAGGTACAGAAAAAACAAATATTGTGAATAACTATTGTGCTTGTTCCAGGGACATTTTTTTTCACGTAGCCACAGCCACATCATTGACTTTGTATTCAATTTAAATTTCATACATTGTTATGCATACTCAATTAAAATCCTATTGAGACCAATTTGATTTTAGAAAGACAAATCAATTTTTAACACATCAAAAAATGCAAGTGAACGTAGATATTTCTGTGTTCAATTTGTTTTCCCTTAATAAAAGCGTGGAGATCTTACAATGATCGAAACCCAGAGACACTGAACGGAGATGCCACATATTCCTCTCTTGCAGCAAAAGGTTTTAGAAGCGTCAGACCAAATCTGCAAGACAAAAAATCACCAACCCAGGTAATTGAAGCTCATTGCCTGTAGTGTGTCTAGTGCCTAGACTTCTGTTTTCTCATCCTCTTGGGGGCCTCATTCCTAGTGTCCTAGCTTGAAAATGCTTCTGCCTTTTCCATATGCTTTGCTTTTCATGCTAACAAGTACAACATGGGGCGTGAGTTTTAAGCTCATGACAGGTAGGTTTTCTTTTGTTGTTGTTGATTTAGTCTTTATTCTTTGGTTAAGCTTATAGAAGTAGGTCAGCTTCTACCATAACGTTTAAGACAAATGCTCATTATTAAAGCTCTGACAGCAGATGTTTTGGATCCCAGAGTTTAAGAGTCAGGAATGCATTATGTGTTGAATGAATATAAGTCAGACAAATGCTGAGCCTATGAGATTTTAGTAAGAACTGTGCATGTAAAATGTTCTGAAAACCATGGGACTAAAGGAACTGTGGACCTCCAAGTCTAAAATTAGAACAAGATAACATATGTTCACTTTTAGCATAATTTCTAAAACTGTGGATGGAAGCATTATCTTTGTAATGTATTCTAACAGCTTTTCCAACTTGGGAGAAAATATTGACAATAATACACAAAGCATTCTTCCAGGACTAAAGTAACTGTTGGGTCTAGCCTGCTGAGGGGATAGTGTGGATGGGTTTCTTCAGGGCTTGTTTGACAATGTTCCTCTCATGACTAACTTGGACTTTCTTTCTGTTTTTCCTTCAATGTCATTTCTCTTTCTGAACACTCTTGGCCACATAGGCACCCCTTCCACCAGACAGGAAAGAAAGCTTTTGTCGGTCCTTGATAACCAATCAAACAAAGGGGGACATTTCAGACTCATTAGTAACTAACACAGAAAGTCCATGGTGTAGAGAGAGCCTTCCTAACCTTAAGCCTCTCCAGGGAGCTTTGCATTCCAGTGAAGATTCTAACCAGACAATAGTGTATTCTGAGGAATCCAATACAACTATCTCATACACACAAAAAATCACTAATCCACTACCAGCAGCCTCCAGCTCCACTCCTGCACTATTTGGAGACATTAACACCCCATTTCTACAAGAGGACTACATGCAAGATTCTCAAAGTCGAAGAATTTCTACCTTGAAACTAACCCATGACCAGGATCTAGGAAGTAGCCCCCCCTCTAAAACACCACAGTTTTCCCAGACCACTGACATTCCATCAATTCTGAAAAGGTCTTGCTCACCAAACCCTAACCCAGGACCTAACACACACACAGCATCTCTTTCCATTCAGATAGCTCCCCATTCAGGACATGAGCTTGAAAGCCACCAACAGTTCCCTGAACTTCCTCCAGAGAATGAAAAGATGCCTCTTCAGCAAGAGAGACAAACGTCTACAGATATCAAGACCTGTCAGTCCCCAGTGGTACATTACACTTGCTGGTCTCTTCTTTTGTGTGTGTTGCAGAGCCTCTAACTTGGGTTGGAGCTTCGTGTTAAACCTAATGTTTTAATTAGTTTCTAAACAGGAAAGGAAAGGAGAAAGAAGCTATTTCAAACCCGACTGGATTCAGGCACTTTCTTTGCATCTTTCTATTTAAATACATGCACATAGAACTTTGATACAAAAATCATGTTCCTTCTACATTTTTCTTGGAAATAATTGATAAAGAAGATTCACTTAAGGCACTGTAAACTACATCCAACCTTAAAGCACTTCCAGATACCAAAGACCAATTTATCATGTCAGAACTTTGGAAGCCAGGTTAGCCTTATTTAAATCTACAACATCTCTTTAGATAATTCTCAATCAGAATATGCTTTATCTTAATTGCAAGCAGTATTTATTCCTTTGTAAATTGACATTTTCTCTAAAATTTCATCAGTTGATCATTTCAGAAAATACATTAACCAAATCTTATTGTCTAGATTTATTTGGGGGAGGTCAACCTGCATTATAAAAGCCATGAGTCTGTGGCAGGAGCAAAACGGGAATAAGTAGGGCATGAAGTTGCAGGAAGTTGATTCAGAGGTAACACGAACCAGATTACAGGAATCCTTGTGAACTATTGTAAAGATTTTGACCATAGGCTTGTTAAAGATAAGAGTCCTTTAGAAGACTTGGGGGCTACCACTATAATGATTCTACTAAGATTTTAACCAAATTATTCCATTCCAGCATCTCAGTTGGAAAGGAACTGTAGGAAGAAGGCAGGCAAGCCAGCTAGGAAGCTGTTGCGATAACTAGGTCCAGGAAAGATAGCTGTTCAAAGTTGGGTGGAGGCATTGGAGATGTTGTGAAATACAATTGTGGGAATATTACTTTGAAAGCAGAGCAAACTTTGAAAGTAGATCAAATAGAACTTCTAGGGCAGATTACAAGTCAGACAGGAGAACAGTCAAGCTTGATCCCAGCTGAGAAGGGGCTCGTGCCGTTAACTGAGACCAAGAGACCACAGGGGAAGAAGGATTAATGAAAAGTGATTTGTGTAATCAGAGACATCCACAAGAAATGGTAGAGTGTGGGATAAGAGGGTTGGGGACTCAGGGCAAAGGTTCTGGTTGGAGATAAAAGTGATCAGCTTTTTGTAGCCAACAGACAGTGAAGTCAACATGGATGGAGGAAACCCAAGAACTGAGTTTATGCAAATCTTTCCATTCAAAGGAAGAACCAGTCAAGCAAACTGTCACTGGTATCTCCAAAAGGAGAGGAAAATCCAGGAGAGACAATTCTGGGAGGATAGGAAAAGCAACTTCAAATATTGTTGATAAGACAAGTAAATTAAGATTTAAAAGCAAACCACAGAGTAGAAGTGAGGCTATCTACGAGTGGCCTTAGCATAGACAGGAAGGAGACCAATTATTAAATCATGGCTTCTTTCATGGTATATTTATGTCCCTCCCTGAACTTTGTTTCTTCATCTATAATATAGGGTTAATAACAACATTCATCTTGGAGGGTTTCTCGGCAGGTGTGATAATATATGTGGGGAATTTGGCATACTGCCTTCTACATAGTAATTCCCCAACATGCAGAAGCTGTTATTATTTTAAAATAATGTTTTCCAAACTATGTAACAGTTTGAAAAAGTAAATTGATGTTTTCAATAATATTTTTAACAGATGAATTATAGCTTATTTTATCAGGTTAACAGTATGCTACATTGTGTTGTCTTATAACAACTTATAAAAGATGGCATAAATTATTGTATTTTTTAATTTTGCCAAGAAAATATAAGATCTACCTTCTTCACAGTATTTTTGCAGTTCATACATGTGGCAGGTATACATGCTGACATGTGGTGGGAATCTTTCTAGATTTCCTTCACTTTGTTTATTGAGGCAGAATCTCTCACTGGACCTGGAGTTTGCTAACTCAGGTTAGTCTAGCTGTCAGCTTCCCACAGGGATCCCCTATCTTTATCTCCTAAATGCTGGATTTTGTGTGGGTTCAGAAAATCCCACCTCTGGTCTTTGTTTTCATAGCAAGCATGTTATCCACTGAGCCTTCTCCCCAGGCCTTTCTTCACAAACTGTAAATGTTCCACAAGCTATTGTTAACTTTAGACATAATTTCTTTTACAAAATTCCTAGAATTTATTTATCTTGCCTAAATAAGTTTCTTGCCTAAGAAACTCTACACCCCAGACAGCAGCTCATGTCCCGTCAGCTAGCCCCTCACCACTCTCTCTCCTTTCTGCTTCTGTGTCAGCTGTTTCAGATGCCTCGTGTAAGTGGAATCATGAAGTATTCTGTGACTGGTTCATTTCACTTACATAATGCCCTCTGTGTTATCCATATTAAAATACATGGTAAAACTGCCTTCCTTTTTAAGACTGAAGGATAGACTATATTTCCTTTTATTTCCTTTATCTATTCTTCTATCAGTAGACATTTAATTTTCATGTCTTTCCTATCATGGTGTATTTCATTTTCTGTTTAATGATCTTTCACAATGGTTTTTACACTCAATATTCTGGCAGGAAGACATAGTAAATGTCAAGGCATGTAAGCTACACTCTATGAACCAGCTATACATATACAGTTATACAGAATTGGTCTCCCAAGAAATGAACAGACCCAAGAAACAAAATTATTCTAAGAAATGAAAAGTAAATCTTAGTATTTTAGAAGTTTATTTTACATATATGTTGAAGAAGATTATACACTACTGTTAGGAATATTCCCCATACCTGACAAGTTAGATATATGGTTTTATAAACCACATGTTTTAAATAATAGCTCCTACAGTTTATATATAGAAAGACCACAAATGAGGTATATTGCTCTTCTCTGTAAACAAATATTCTTCTGCTAAAACTGTCTTTGTTCTTCATGTCAGATTAATACAAATGTTGGCCAGATGCATTGTAGAGACAGCAAACAGCCTCACTCAGGATTTCCATGGTATTTGTAAGTGCCTTTGCTTCTGAAGAATAAACTTGGCCCTTCCATTGTTGGGTAACATAATCAGCCATCAGTCAGAACACATCGCTTCTACTACACAGATGTTGAAAATTCAAAGATGAATCTCTAGTACCATACAGAAGAGATACACATTTCTTCTTTTGTTCCTAAGATCAATATATGGGAATTAAGGAAGACAAAGTGTAATGACTAGTTTCATATCAACTTGACACAAGCTAGAGTCATTTTGGAAGAAGAAACCTCAATTGAGAAAATGCCCCCACCAGCCTGACTTGTGGGCAAGCCTGTGGTGCATTTTCCTGACTGATATAGGAGGGCCAGCTCACTCTAGGTGGTGCCACCCCTGGCCTTCTAGAAGAAACTAAAGAAAGCAATAAGCCAGTAAGTGGTACTCTCCCATGGCCTCTGCATCAGCTCTTGCCTCCAGATTCCTGTCTGGAATTCTGTCCTGACTTCTCTGGATGATGGACTATAAACCTTTTCTCCACAAGTTGCTTTTGGTTGTGGTGTTTTATCAGAGCAATGAAATCCTAACTAAGACAAGGTGTAATGCATAAATGTCAGCAGCATTAGGAAAGAGAACATAGAATTTCAGAGCACACTTCTGCACATTCCCACC